CTTTCTATAGTAAATATATCTTTTACTAATAAAATTAGAAATATAGTAGTTTTATACTATTTTCGAATTAGTATAAAAGGCTATTTTACCTAATTCTTTATATATCTTATAAGAATTATTATTTACCTCAAGTATTTTATAGTATTTAGTAAACTATATATTATAATTATTATTAGAATAAAAAAGGCTACTTTTAAAATATTTAATAAAATATTCTATAGTATTAAATTTAGAAATAGAACTATTACTAGTAAGCCAGGTATTATCTAACTTATAAGAGATACTATTCTATATAAAAGAATCTAGTTTATTAAATTAAGGGTTTTTAAATAGCTTATTATTATAGTATAAAGAAATATTCTAACTTATAAGAACTTTATTCTAGAAATCTAGATTAATTACTATCTAAGAACTAATAAGCTTATTTTATATAGCCTATAACTATATTAGTTTCTGGACTAAGAAAATAAATATTAGAGCCTTATTAATAGCTATTAATAAGGTCTTATATTATAAGATATTTAAAAAAATAAGGTAATATAACTTATAGCTTATAGAATTAAATAAAAAGTAAGTAGAAAAAAATATAATATAGCTTACTATAATATATATTACTATTAGATTTAACCTAATATAAGTCAAGCTATATAGCCTAACTAGATTCTAATTATTATTACTATTACTAGTAATATTATATAGCTACTTATAAATTATACCTTAATATAAAGTATATCCTCTCTAATAATATAATATAGTCTATATATAAATTATAAATAAACTAGCTTTAGCTAAATTATATTTATAAATAAGTTAACTAGTTATATAGCCTTAAGAAATAATTAATTAATTTCTACTCGAATTACTTTTTCTAGTATAAAAACTAATAATATATATACCGCTTATATATAATAAACTCTAGATATTAGTTATAAGGCTATAGTTCTAGAGTAATAGTTTATTTTTTAGATAAGAGATCGGGTATTTCTATTTTTTATAGAATTTAGTAAAAATAAAAAATAAAAGTTTTCCTTAATTAAATATAGTAATATATTTCTATTAGTATTTTTAATCTCGGGAAGTCTTCTAAAGGCAGGTATATATATAGTACTAGGCAAAATATAAGCTATAAAAATAGTTACTTATACTAGAGTTTATATATTACTATTTCTTATAGACTTTAGTAAAAATTAAAAATAAAGATCCTCTTTAATTCCCTTAATTAAAGGTAGTACTATATTTCTAATTATATTATTTATCTTATAATAGCTTCTAAAGATAAATATATAAGTAATATAAGCTATCTACTAGTATAAGTTCAAATACTTTTAGTTATTTATATCCAAAATAACTAGCTATTTGGGTCGGCTTATAATTCTAGTATCTGTAGCTATTAGGCCTTAATAAGCTATTATATTATTATTTTCTATTAAAGCTAGTACTTTTTTAATTAATAAAATAATAGAATTAATATATTATTCTAGATTATAGTTAAGCTTTAGATTAGAGAAATAGTCCGGCCTTAAGCCTATATATATATTTATATATAAATACTTTACTATTCTATTAGATATAGGGAAGTTCAAATTAGTTACTATATTCGAGAATAAAAAGTTATTTATAGTTTAATTTATTTTTAGAGAAAGAAATTCTATATCTATTATTATAGAAAATCTATATATAACAGGTTTCAATATTAGTTTAACTAGTATCTCCTTTAGTAAGTAAGATTTATAATTATATATAAATTTATTATAGTTAAAAGGCTTAGATTTCTAGCTAGTATTACCTAAATAGAGATTAGCTATAGTCTAATAATAATATTTCAAGAAATAAATCTATTTCTATTTACCTTACTAGAGTATTTTAAAATAGTATATATTAGCTATATATTATTCTTACTTATTAAGCTTGTTTTATTTATCTAGAAATATAATCTTTTTAGGTAATATATTAGATAATTATAGGTAATATTCTACTCTAGAGAATTAGTAATATATCTAGTTAAATAAAGAACTACTACTTAGAAGCTACTACTATTATATCTGTCTTTAGCTCAGTAATATATATATAAATAGCTTAAAATACCTTAGTCTAATCTATTACTAGTTATTTCTCCAGAAAAGTCTTATAATATAAGTAAAGCTAGGCCCTTACTAACGGGCATTAATAAGGGTCTTCGTCTAAAGTATTCTATATAATAGAACTATAGGCTTGTAATAGTCTGCTTCTTCGGACAATAATTATAAATAGGGTAAAACTAAATACTTATTTATAGGTATTAATAAAGATCTATTCTATAAGTATTCTAGATATTATTATCTATAATACTTAAATATAATTCTACTATTACTAATTCTCTAGTATAATATTTATAGCTTTAGGTACTTTAATAACAAATCTCATATATTAGTTACTAGATAAAAATTCATTTTAATAAGAACTAATAGAATTAATAATTAGCCGGAATTATTAATAAGAACTCTAATAAAAGTACTAATAACTTTCTTATTAATCAAGTTTATTAATAAGCTATTAATAAAACATTTAATAATATAGCTAAGATTTATTAGTTAGCCTTATATCTATAATTCTAACTAGCTATAAAATTAGGAATCTAAATAAATATCTTTTTATAATATTTACTTACCCTAAATAACTTATAAAGCCATAAGTTATTTAGAATAAATATTATAAAATAATATTTATTTAGACTTAAAAAAAAGACTCTCTTAGACTCTCCTTTATAAGAGTATAGTTTAAGGGCAAGACAGACTATAATAGGAAAAAGTATAGCCTATACTATATTTATATTCTTATAGGAGCAAGGTACTAATTTATAGGGTAAGTAAAGCCCTAAAAGTTTATAACTAGCAAATTATTATATAATATTTGAAAATTAAAATAAGTAAATAATAACTTAAACTTAGGCTAGGCTTATTACTGAAAAAAAGAATATTTAATATATATTTAAATTCTGTTTTATTTAATTAGAACTTTAATTATAATTAATTAAAGGAATAATAAAATTAATTAAAGAAATAATAAAGGTAAGAGAAAGATAAATATAAGGAGCAAGGAATTTTAATAGAATAAACTCGCTTAAATTATAATAACTATCTCTAAGCTTATTAGCTAAAATTCTCTATATTAACCTTTCTTATTAAAAACTTATCAAAAATCCTAACTTTAATACGATATTTGCCCTTCTAGTAACTAGCTAATAAGTAACCTAATAAGTAACTAGTTAAGCAAATAACTAGCTATTACTAGAGAATAATTACTATATAAGAGTTTGAGTTAAGAAATATATTAATTCTAGATATAAGATAAAGTATAAGAACTTAAAAAAGTTCTTTATATTTTAAAGAATTCAACCGAGATTATATAATATCCAAGTATAGTTCAAGTATATTATTCTATAATAATAAAACCTTATTAGTAGTAACCTCTATATAAATCCGTTATCTATAATAACTGCCTCTAGTAACTATTATTGTGGTGGGGTTTTTTCTCTCTTGTCCCGTAACTACCGTCACGTGTCCTGCTTTCCAGGCATGCTGGCGCTAGTTTAGGGGGTTGCATAAGACCTCCGTCCATACATATGATTAGCCTTCCCAATACATCAACCTTCGGAGCCCCTTATTTTTGACCATTCGTATTATTTCGTTGCTGGTGCTGAGAGTCTTAATATTATTACTTCTACTTATTTAGCTTCCTACCCTCTTTACCTCCACCCACGCATCCAACGCCTATATATGGTCCGATATCCATATAACAATCAAATCCCCATCACATTATCTACTACTATATTTGATACTAGACTAGCTAGAGCCTTTTATAAAGTTCGCTTTCTTCCTACCCTTATTCTTCTTGTACTTGGGTTTGTAAGAGCAGTCCCCCTATTTGCTTGGGTTCCGGTAGATATTCTTGCCAGATCTGGACATGGCATTATCAGTAATATAGACAGCTTCCAGATGCACAGACTTGCCTGTTGTAATAGAGTCGCCAATAATCAATATTTGGAGTAAAGTACCCCATGGGCTAATGTAAATGTCAATTCCCTCTAGTCTGTAGTACTTAAGGCTCAGACCCAAGGCATCGTAATTAGTTCTGTAATTATAAGAAATGAGGTTGTTTCTATTCACTAGTCGAGAACGCGGAATCGAGCATATAGACCTGCGAAATCTGCTGCTTAAACCTCGGCCAACAACCCACTGCGTGAACATTTTGTGCAAGTTTCAGTCACGTGGATCGGAGTGACTGAGCTCGGAGCCGGAATGCAAGGCAATGCAGACACGATCTTGCCGACGTGTAACCAAAGTATTGAGCTGTGCGGACCAGCCTCGCACGGCAGCCCTTTCTCCTGGAAACTACCGGAGCGGTGAGTGACTAGGAGAAAGTTCGGAAGTTCGGAGATCCACAGAGGAAAGCTCGGAGGTCCTACGGGAAAGAGGCTCTAGGGAATTATCCGGGAATTATCCGTAGGCAGCCGTCGATCCTTATCGGGCTCATTAGACCAATCGAATGCCCCAAAACTCGTTAATGGCGCACGACCCATTTGCTTAAGACTCCGGCTTTCCGAAACCCCGACTACTTTACCCCGCATCAGGATACAAGTACTATCCCCCCCCTTGAATAATTACGAGTGGGTCCTTTGGTAACGCCACACTGAAACTTCGTCAGTATCCCCGAATTAGGAAATATCAGGTGCTTTCGAGAGCCGCTATTCGCTATAGACCCTCGATTGCGTGCCTTTAGTGGTGTGAATCGTGGCATGATAGTATGGCGAATATTGGACCCACCCATAATTATTCATGGGAGGGGATAGTATGAGACGCGTTCTCTGCTTCGCCAGTCCTTCGCCCTCTGCTTCGCCAGCTGCTGCTTCCCCAGCTACTTCGCAGTCTGCCTCGCGGGATTGCTAGAGTGAAAACGGTAAGGTGGGCTCTCCTTTCTCGTCCTCTATGGGCGAGCAGCGTGGGCGCTCGCGGGAGGGGAGGAGGGAGTTTAGGTAATCACCTTCCCAGCACGCCGTATAAAAGGCAGCAGGATGGCCTCAAGACAACTTCGGATCAAATCAGCAGTTCCAACTCTGCCAGCACCCTACTCCGAGAACATCTCGCCAGAGAAACGCCCCTTGTTCTCAAGTAGCGTCGACCGCTTTCTCCGTTGCCCGACGAGACAATCTCTGCTATGGCTAAAGATTCCAGGGAGGATGCTTCTGGAGCCATGTATGCCCTTCTCCCATTGCAAATGAAGAAATGTCAATTGACGCCTGCCTTTTGCACAGTCTGGATGACGCTATACAGCAAGCCCGCTGCGTAGAAACAATGGCACGTTTCCTTCGTATGCCTCACGAGAAATTCTTCAAGTTGCTCGACTACATATTTGACAATATGGAGAAAGAGAAGAAGGCGGTTGCATGGGAACTGGAGCCTAACTATGACGAGGCCGTCATTCACAAGAACGAGAGGGTCGTGGTCCCCGAAAAGGACGTGGCACATGGCGGCACCTTGAGTGGTATATTCTTCGCGTCACACTGTACCTATACGATTTTCTAATCACTTGATAGGAGTGGTCCAGGTTACGGCAATATTCGATGGACACCATTCTCTCGCCACCGGCGTTGTGATCTGCAACCAATACGGGCAGATCGTTATAACGGCCGCCCATCCTCTCTACAGCAAGAAATGGGGTTACGCTAAGCGCGTTATAATTAGCGCTGGTGTGGGCAGCATTTCTAGCACTGTCGAGTCTCGCGATGGCATATACGCCGTCGTTCCCTATCCTTAGTTCAATAAGGGCTTGAGGAAGAACGACCTCGGGTTCATCCGCCTGCGGGAACCCTTCGATATAGCTACAGTCACTCCCTTGGAGATTTTTCAGACACCTTTAATCGGTATCGGAACCATAGTTGGATTTTCGAAAGACTTCCCCACCTTCGCGCCTCGCAGGTACCTAGGCAAAAGCATATCTCTCACGGTATACTACCCGCGCCTGACAGCAGGGATAGTCGAGCACAAGGGCGATACCGAACAAGATGCATGCAACATGAGCAGGTCTATGGGCGCCGGTATGCTAATGCTATTATAGGAGCCTCGGGAGGACCGGTCCTAGATAAAAAGGGACGTGTTATAGCCGTAATAAGTGGCTGGGATTACAAGTCCAACAAAGCAAAAATCAACGTGGCCGCCCCCATCGATCGCGAGGGCAACGATGTCGCAACATTCACCGAGGTCTTCGCGTATATGGCCAAGCATGCTGGGAAGCATATGGATGACAACGCTTATAAGGTCAGAGATGTTGACTTCATAAGCAAGAAGGATGGGAACAACATTAAGAAAGAGATGATTGGAAAGGTGAATGGATTTAATATATTTGCTTTCACATAGCCTGAGCGTGCCTGAATGCTACAAACATATTGAAATCGAGTCCGAGGAAAGGGTTTTGTAGGAAATTGGAGCAAAATGAATTATCAACTCGTCGCCCATCTAAACCTATATCGTAAGGTCCGGGGAAAGCAAAAACTAGTCATTAGTCTACAGGTTCTTATATAGAAAAAATGTCAACGTTAAAATCTTTATCTTTCAACGCCAAGTAATTCGTCTTACATTAAAAATCCCCTAGCATCGTTGTCTACTCTACCAACCTCCAGATAAAGGCGCCAACATTGTGGATTTCAAGCATACCAACTTTCTTTCAAGACTAAGCTTCTTTGACAGTCACTCCTCTATAGATAATTAGAAGCAGAATTCGATATACTTGCCTTAAAGCCACTGTAACAGAATGCACTTGAGCAAAGGAGGAAGTTAGGAGAAGAAGACACTTGGAGAACCAAGAAGTCAATACTTAAGTTAAAACCTATAGTGCAAACGCAAAATTGAGTCAAATGTTGGACCCGTAACTTTACACGAGAATATTCGCTAGCGAAACTTGATCTGAGAACTGCATTCTCGTTTATACGATATACGAAAACTAGAAACTTGGACATAGTTCAAGGGTTAAAGGCCACTGAGACAAACGAAATTTTTCTAACTAAGGGCAATAACAAAGGGCTCTAATAAAGAGTGGGTATAGAGGGGGGCAACCCTCAAATTTCCAGTTTCGACGAGTTTAGATCTCAGCTCTTAGATATAAAACATTTCGAATCTTTAAGGCTAGAGTATCTCGAGTATATGGAGATAGCCCAATATTCTGCAGATTTCCAAGGAACAGGTGCAGTAAAGCCCAAGACTATAAAAGGTCCAAATTTACCTTCTTGCGGATTAAGTTGATTTGTCGACAAGGTAGCCACTATTGAATAGCAACCAGCCAAAACCTCTGTAAGATAGATTTGATAACTATAATTTGGAGGATAATATATTAAGTAGTAAAGAATCAGGGATGGATAAATCTTGTTTCGAACTGATTTAAGGACCAGATATTATATAAAACTCATGCTCCATATTATACTATTTATATTCCACTACCCGAGATCCGGTAGTTGGGCCAATTACCAGTAGTAGTCTCGGTTATCCAATAAAAAGCCAAGAAGATTGCAAGGCTGCAATAATATCTATATACAATATACTTCTATATAGGTTAAACAAGCTACTATAGGAAGTTGCGAACCAATAATACGATAACTGGCAAATTTTGTCTGAGTATTAGAGTTAGCCTAAAATCGGGCAGGCCTATTACTATAGATAATAGAGACAAAACCTTCCATCTGGTCGCCGGCGATAAAGTATTTTACCAGTTCGAAACAGAGAACGTCACCTCACTAATCGACCTCTGGGACGCCACGATGAGCGTCGAGCAGTTGGAAGTCGCTGGTGGTAGGTTTGAGAGCATCTTCCTCAGATTGCACGAGCGCATTTGTTTTATCACGGAGGATGGACACCCTGGTATAGGCCCGCGTGACGCTTGGGGGGGAGATGTTGCCTGCGTGCTCTGGGGCTGTAGCTACCCGGTTCTACTGCGGAAAGAGATGGGCAATGCCGGCGCGTGTGTCTACTCTTTTCTTGGGCCTGCATACGTCGACGGTGCCATGAACAACGAAGCTAGTGGAGAGGTTCTGGTGTATAGGATTAGGTGATGTCTGGTTAAGGAAAGGGAAGTGTGCCCCGCTCGTTAAAACCGACACTTCATTAGGGACACGAACCCGAAGTGCTGAGATTTAAGACCGAAGGCGACATCATGTTGCTCGCAGTTCTCCCAGGAACACGACCGAGACATATATTTCTTTATGGAGCTGTCAGGGTACGATTGGTGCTTTAAAATGCATTTCTACTATTATGTAACCTTACGAGCCCAAGCTCATGGGTCTGTGCGCACAGGGCATTTTCTAGGTATCTTCAGGCTTCGCGAAAACGCTTTCAGGCCTTAGAACCTAGAATTGACAACTTTCACATCAAAAGTTCACGACCTCTATTAATTATAATAATCTATGATCGTGGGAAAGGGTATGAAAATAGCTAAATTACACTTCGCAAAATTAAAACTTCAAGTTTAAAAGAATTTTTATTTTTATTTGTATGTAAAATGCCCTGTAGCGCACAGACCTATGAGCTTGGGCTCGTTAGGTCTGTTTTGCAAAATAGATTTACTTGCAAGTTCCGAAGACATTATTAAATTACTAGTTCGAAGAATAGCCCTTTAATATATTTCATAAGCAAGTGCGCCATACAAGCGAGTGCGCCACCTCAACAACAAAACGCGTATCTTTACCTTTCAACTAGAATGTAACAATCAATTTTCTGTCAATCTCTTCAAAAAGAAGGTCAATTACTTAGGGTTAGGGGTTCATATTAGATATCTACTAACGCCGGTATCTAGGCTACAATATTGAAGGTCGCCGAGGTTGCGTTCCGAACAGCAGTGCTTTTCCATCCAGACAACAACTACCTTTCATACAAGATCCCCAGCTTCCATCGATACTTCCTGAAGTTCTTCCAAGGCTGCCGTTGTCCAATACCAGTACGTCATTGTCAGCCCGTAGTGGCCTAGCCCAGCTTCAGCGGTGATGATGACAACTTCTCCATATACAGCCCATCCATCCAGATGGGGGTACCATCCAGCACCACCCGCAGATCCATCCGTCATCATGCCCGAGAGTCAGTCAGGAGAAGCAGAGCTCCCGATCATCTGACAGGGATCAATAGATTTTATCGGGTGAAGGTCAGGATGGGATTTGGCATTTAAAGTATGTTTTCTATCCAAAATTTATCGGGAATTATGCTCCAGGTATTCGTATTGCCATTGCGACGTTGTGGTGGAAGATATGGTCGATTAACGGAAGGTGACGTTGAGTGGCATTTCCTGATTTATCGAAAATCCGGAGTACTGCCGACACTGACCGCTTAAGGTTACCGAATCGATGTTTTTTTCTAGTCCTACTTCAACTCCCTTCAACACCACCAGTTATGAGAATAAATAAAAGGATTAAATTGAAATGAATAATTTAGTTATAGATATATAATAATATCTAATTTTTTATTGTTATAAAAAGGATTGGGTGCGTTGCAAGCTCATTTAATTTGCATGGAATCCAGGGGAACGGCGCTAACCGAATCGAGGTTTTGTTCTAGTCTTGAATGAGTGCGCCCAAGAAGCTGCTTACTTCTTCATATTTTACTCCAATGGCTCCAAATCAATCTCCAAAGAAACGCGGCGGCAGACCAAGAAAGCACATTACTAAAGAAGCTGCCATAGAGGCTGCGAGAGAGAGTAAGCTGCGTTGGTATCATCAGTCGCGTCAACAGGCGCGTCAACCAGCTGGCCCAGCAGACTTCATCGCATACGAGCCTCTACTGCAGCAGACATCCCCGAAGAAACTCCTCTCGAAACCGGTCTCCGTACGAGCCACGATGTTCAAATTCCCCTCGATCCCAATGCGCGACCGAACCCCCGGCAGTCTGCAGAACTGCCTACGGAGGAAGACATGAAAATCAATAAGGAGATCAGGGATATACGGATGAAAGAACAAGAAGCCAATGCGGAACTAGGGGAGCGAGAGGCAGAAATGGCAGAGATTTTGCTAGCGATGCGGGCCGCCAACATACAAGCAGAGCATAATAGGGGAATGGCACATACATAAGACGTTTCCGGCTTGCAGACGACTGCGGGGGCTGAGGGAGACGGAATAAGTGAGGGTGATTTACAGCGTTCCTGCATTTTGCAATTTGACGATATAGATGAGCCGATAGCACGGGATGAGAATAGCATTGCTAGTTCGTATGCTTTTAATGCATCAGCCAATATCCAAAGATTAAGAGAGAGTACAACCCTGCCGCAAACGCGAACTCAGCATAGCTCGCCTTCTGTGCAATTATTGGACAAGAGCAATGGCAGGAAGCCTACTAGTAGACGAAGCACATCATTCCCAGCACAGAAGAATAACCTGTTATCTTGGATGAAATCTTTGCTAGCAGGGACCCCGAGCAATTTATCTTTCCCAGCACCCACGCAAAGATCCCTTAGCAATGCTCTGTCTTCACCCTTTTGTCGGATTAAAAGCCTCGAGCCTTCTTCCCCCGCCCAGTCAGTGACTCCTGCACCACCAGCTGCCGCCACCCCAACACCTGCTCCTGCTCCTGCCCCAGCGGCAACAGTTTCCCCAGACGCAACAGTCCCAGATGCAGCAACTTCCGCAAATGCAGATGCTTCCCCGGCGCCAACTGAGCGGACTGCTTTTAAGTTTGCCAAGCAGCTGCGGAATTTCCAGGGCTGTACTCACGAGCAATACCGCCAGGCAGACTAATTACACCAAAGGCACCATTAGCTCCCCGACGTATATTCTAAGTGCTCTTCTCTCTATGAGGTCACTGCATTTCTCCATGGATATAATGGAGTAACCCGGCTTCCAGACGTGCTTAGAAGCAGTAAGTTAATAAAGCCAATGGACTTCGGCGGACTGGACTGCCAAGCAGTATTTGAAGGCACTAGCTTATTAGCTGCTCCTAAAGATGTCGGAACTCGTAATGAAAAGCTGCCCAGGAATCTCTGCTTATCGCAATATTATGCTACTAGTCGGAAGAATCGTCCTGCTAAGGTATCATTTAATATCAATAGTACGTGCTGCTTTTCTACTAGTTTAGCGATTGCATATCAAGGCATTAATTGGTTTCCTAAAATATATCCTTTCTTAATCTCAATACAGATATTTACTTTGGCCTCAAAGTTCCTTTATATAATAAACGCGGAGTATTAACTCAAAAATAAGCTCCTCTTTACAAGATACCCCATTACTACTTTGGCTCTATAATTGGTATGGAGGGGCTGCTCATGTTCGTCTTCTTTCCTGCGCTTCATGCCGAGAGTAACTATGAGTATTCCACGTACCTTAGTAAGCAGGACTAAGAGCTGTAGTATAATGCGATTCTGGCTCCTGCCATCCACAAAACTATCCGATCCTCTAATATTCTGCAATATTACCCTGCTACCACTCGCATCACTAACGCAGATTCGATTGCATTGTTTATAGAGAGCCTTGCTCGGAAGGATTCTTTAAGAGAACAGCTTCTAAGCACGCATTATAGCATAGTACCTCGACTCTCTCTAGAGCCAAATTCTCGAAACCATTACCGAGAGCCCTGGATACCATCGATTCCGAGATGCTAGCCTCTTTATACACGTAAAGAATACCAAATTGGAATTTATGGATATGGATAGTGGCCTAAATATGGCTTACGAAGGTTGGGCTAAATCTTGGTCTCAGGCAACTGACCCATAATCCTATAACAAGAATCGCACGTTTATTAATCTCGCAAAGCAGATTATATCGGAAGACAGTGCTCTCCCGTATGACCAGATCCCAGCAGACTATAAGGCAGAAGTGTTCTTATAGAAAAAGTGTTGCTTGGATGCGTATGCAAAGACGCGGACTATTGTTAATCCCGACGGAAGTCCAGCTAAGGGGAATCCCAAATATACGATATATCCCTGGGCAATAATACGGGATATGATAGGTCAGATACTCTTTGCGGCGCCGCAAGGGAAAAAGAACCAAGACGGATTAATATACTCTTAATTCTATACCCTAATCAAGATTCTATTTGATATAACGAAAGTGTACATCTTCGATAATAAGTCCCTTGAGAATTTGGCCTTAGACCCTGGATATATCCGGTCACTTTAGCAGGAAAATAGAGGCATTACCTTTTCGAAAGGTATCTGCGAGTTTGGCTACCTCCACAGTAAGAACCGTACTCATGCCAATCTGGTTAATAACTAATAGAAGTCGTATGGTATCCGAGAAGAATACTGTATCTCCTTGACAATAATGGAGAAGATTACTCAGTAGTGGCGTTAAAGGGCCTATATGACGATGAGATTAATACTGGCCCGCCTCCACTCCCTTATTACATCGTCCCTACCAAAGAGCTTCTCGGCTTTCTCTATGCCCAGATTAACAAGTACTGTTTTATCTTTGAGTATATACTTGCGCATATAGCCATAATATACTGGCTACCAGAAAACGATTATTATGGTGACTACATTAAGGGCGCTACGGTTTTGCTTTAGTAATAACCTGATCCAGCGTAAATCACTACTATACAAGGATCGCTGGGAGAGTCTCCGGAATAAGAAGTCGGTTGTAAAAGAAGGTCTGGGTATACAGGAGATAATCGAACGGTATGCACTTGGCTGGTTCTTACCTAAGATCAATTGGGTAATATGGCGGTTTGCACCTCCGCACGGAGAGAATATCCTGGTGGGGAATGTGCTAATGCACGAGGAGTACAAACGACGGTGGCGAGCAGTCAAAGATCTCCGGGACGTCTACGTTCGGTTTAGCCAGGCCGAATCTTAGTATAATCAATATAACGTATAGTATAGTGCTTCTTTATTGAGCAAGTGGCTGGAATATCTTTACGCCTTGAACCTCGAGCGGTTCGATACGGATATATGGAAGGCTATGCTCAAATCCTATAGGTATGGATCCAAAAGCAAGTAATATCTAGGAGCAAACGTGTCGACATGCCTCAACATTTGCCAATTAAGCGAGCGTCCTCCTTGAGCAACATATCATTCTCATTATTAAAGAGTCTTCCTCTGCAAGAGTTTATATAGTGTCCCGCTCCTAAAGTCTTCCGTTTCAACCCTGGGCTCTTCTTCCATGATCTCCAACTCTGTTGACTCATCGCCCTCTTCACCATGCTGCTGCACTAGCGATTGCCCTCGCTGCCTAGCCCCATCGTGGTTCGATATCAATGCTCGCCGAGTATAAGGTCTTATTCCAATGATATCATTTCCAAATTCCTTTACCCACTGGCTTGAACTGGATGTTGCTATTCGTGAGTTAGATTGCTCTGCGTTTAGAACGGCTCTGCCGAGAGAAGATTGATTCATGTAATAGGAAAGCATGTCTCCAGTAACTTTCCTCGAGATCAGGAGGACAATTGCCATGACCAGCATTAAGATCCACAGAAGGAGGACAAAGGCTGCTGGTATCGCGAACAGCAAGTTGCCGTAAATGACGACGGAGTGATGTTTATGAGCTTCTCTCTTGCCCAAAACGCCACCATCTGAGGAAACAGAGTTATCGAAGCCAGTCTTCGTTCCCACCACAGCAGAGGCCACAAGATCTGTCCAGATAAGGTTTAAAATCTGTGCAGCACCATCTTTCGTACGCGAGAGATTGCGCCACTTGAGGAACAAGGAATATTGGATATCTCCCGAGTATGAAGGTAGCCCACCGAAAGATGTTCCAGCTATCCAGGCTACCTCCTGGTAAACACTGCTCCAAGCGGTGGTGAAGACTGAAGTAACGGCAAGACTGTCTTTGAACACACTCATATCAGTGAAAGAATATGCCACAGGGAGATAGAATTCCTTTCCTCGAATTGTCGATATTTCAGGGTCGTTCTCATAGAGATCACTGACAAGCCCCCAGAGGAGATTGATATCGCTGATATTGAGATTTAGAGACGGGTCAACATTCTCAACTCCCCATAAAGGCTCGGCTTCCGGACTCGTATAGTTTTTATCTATGATGCTTGAAACGACAACGTTATTCAAGCTTGAAGTGCCATTGAAAGTAAATTCGACGGTTTTGATCATAGCCTTGACTGAACTGGCACAGGTGTATACTGGTTGACCGACCATGGCTCCAATCTGAAATTCATTCTGGCGGGGGTCGTCAGGAATGGCAACGCCGTAGAGATTGCCGCATCTGATATATGGCTTTAATGGGTTGGGTTGATCGAAGTCGTCAAACCCAAAGCAGCGGTGGCCTTCAATGAATTAGCACTCATTCCACATTTCCATAAAATCTCGCATCATACCATACGCCAGGAAGTTGTGTACAAATTTGGAGGAGGCGTTGACTCCTGGAATAAAATCCGCGATGGGGAAGTAACGCTGCAAGTTGTCGGTAACAAATTTCCAAAGATTGTACGCCCATGATGGATCCATGAAAGCGCCATCGATATTGCTAATCGTAATTGCAAAAGGATTAATAATTGATGTGTAATTCTTGAATTCCTGGTCGTACTTGTTTCCAATGTATGTCGTTGAATTTTGAGAAAGTTTCAGCGCACTTGCCGTGAAGTGATTATCCCACCAAGCTCCGAGAAAGGCTCTCTGTGCCAGGTCGGGGATTGGACCAGTAATGTTCCAAAGAGAGTCTTCACCATAGATGTCCCAGCGTGGTGATGGAATACTCCAATTCCTAGAAGCAAAGGCTCCATCATCCTGCAGATATCGGTCCGTTGCGGCATTCGGATCAACACCTGTGTCGACACCATCGAAAAGTTGGTTCAGATGAGTATTTCCGAATGGGAAGTGTATCGAGAAGTTATTGGCGGTACAGACCGTCTCAGGTTGGACCCACAGGATGTCTTCCTGCCAAGTCGCACCTAGTTGTAGGCCGGTAGGGACGGTATGATTACGAAAGCCAATGCCGCCATTATTTGGGTCAACAATAAGCCCTTCCACAATGGTGTAGTCGGTATTTAATAGTAGGTATTGCATCGGCCGAGTCAGCCCCACCGTAATACTTTCGTTACTTGACGTTTGATTCTGATAAAAGAAGAAATTCCGAAACTGTATGTCCCTGGGACCTGCTATTGTAGTCCCAATACTCCCAGAAGAGAGCTTGTCAAAAAGCTCCTGAGAGGGTGTGCAATCTGTGTACACTTTGGTTCCACAACTCCGGTGCAAAGGTTGAGTGGGTCGTGCTGCTGTTCCTTGCCCAAAAAATGTCAAATCACGAGCGTAAACAAATGAAACAGGAGAGGTATCGCTCGCAGGCTGAATTTCTTCCGTAAGAGGTAGTGGTGTAATGATATGGGCTGCGAATAATAGCACCACGGCACAGGTAAGGGTTGTGGAAACGATTGTTACTTGACGAGCTACAAAGGTCCCCCGAGCACTATCAGATTGCAGAAGCATCGGCCAGAGTGTTCCTTGGAGTGTTTTCGCTGTACTGGACCATGTGGAAGCGTTCAATTGCCGGTTTTTGATTGACCAAACCAGGATAAGTGCAACAATTAGGGGCAACGTAAGAGAAACTTCATCCAGTCAGCGAAGGTAGACTTCTTGAAATCTATGTCATAGGCATAGCTTACCGAGAGATGTCACACCACTAATGATCCCAGCCACCTCCCCAATTGTAATTCCATGATGGATGACCTGTAACAAGTTCATAGTCAGTCGATTTCTAGGGTATTTCCTGACCCTTGCTAAAATGTGGAAGAGGTTTAAGGCGCGATGTGGCATGAGAGGAACTGAACATTCTTTTAACTATTGAAGGCAAGCACGAGGCTGCCAAATCCATGTTCAACACAGCTTACGTCTCGCGTTTCGAAAATGCAGGTCCCACAAGAACAACGCCTCCTGGCCCTCCTACTGGAAGCTCCTGAGCCTGGCCCAGGGCGCCAGGCGCACAGCCTGACGAAGGGAACTCTTGGTTTGGGCGCAGCATGCAACGGAATCTTCCATTCTCGATGCTATTTGGCCAAACTAGAGTTTGGCCAACCAATTATACTTTTGTGTAACCTTTGTACCACCTAGTTTCAGACAACACAGCCTCCCTGCGTCATTGATAATCTATCGCTTAAAGGTATAGCAAATCAGATTAAAGTGACACCAAGGGAGTAGGGCTACACAAGCCAATGGAAACCTCGTAGACTTCGGACAGAAATTTACTGTATCAGCGCGCCTGACCAGTTGTTTAGTCATATCTCCATTTTCCAATAATATTTTTTTTTGGTTTGGACTGGGCTTTTCGAGTCACATGGGACGTTAATACTTGAATGAGACTTTAGAGCTCGCTTGTGCTTTTGTTACAAGGGAAAGGATATGCTACGACGCGAACAGGCTGTCCACTTTCGGTGAAAAGTGTTGGAACTCTGTGATACGGTGTACGCCGTACAGCTGTAGTTTATATACTGGGTGTATATATAGGGTTTACCCCGCCTATCCGTTCGACTGCGGCCAGCCCGACCCTGGTCCGTGCGCACCAGTTCCCGCGTAATTCTAGCCAATCAGAAGGCTCAATTACCCCCTAAAAAGCATCAATTCTATCTTCATCTATGGAATACATCAAAACAACCACGATCCTTACATAAACTAACATCGCACTGCTTACAGCCATAGATAGAGACGTGATGTGAGCTCTCCCTGCCTTCATTCGATGCAATTTGAGCTAGTGCAACTCGTTTTTTCGGCCGGTCTCCAAATCTCAGTCCTTTACAATATACACATATGCCTCTCCTCCTAAGCTTAACCAATTCATGTGACCTTCTAGGCACCTGACCTACTCCCTGACCAATTCGTGATATTCTTCTCTTTGGGAAAACCTCTCGTTCCCTCCCTTTAGCTACAAGTGCAGTGACTAATTGCATCCGGAAGTCAGTTTGACTACGGAAGCTAATCTCCCTAGGCTCTGGCACATCGCTATATAAAGCAAGTAGATAGCAGTTGATAAGAACCGTACGTAATAGCCAGTGTTCAAGTGCTTGATGCTCTCCGCGCTTCACGTGTACTGAGGCCCACAGCTAGCTAGCGGACAAATCCGAGAAGCGAAAAGTGATTTTCTGATTTTTTGATTTTCGCACTGGCGCCCCGCACACGTGACTTTCGGCTTGAATAACGCAATAATAGTAAGGCTGCTTGCTTGTCTAATTAACGAAGTAAGAACCCATACTACCGCGTAAAATCGTGCCAAAATTAGGCCGGGTAGTATAATATTAAATTAAGTATTTATTATAAATTATTATAGTCAGATAACTATAGGCTATAAGCCCTTCTAGGATAATACTATTAATAGGATCTAATAATTTCCTTAATATTCCCGAGATTAAAAATAAGAAAATTAAACTATTAAACTAACTAAAAAGCCGGCTAATTACTTTTTTTTTAGTAATTAGTTAATAAAATTATATAGAAGTACTATTACTTAAATAATTTAGTACTTATATTACTAGAAAATATATTATAATAGTAAAGCGTGCCTTTAACTTAATAGATTTTATTAAAATAATATTATAACTTTCAATAAATCTATTACTATATTATAAAGCTATTATTAAATAAGCTTATATAAATATTAATTAAGAAGAAATTACAAATAAATTAAAAGATTTATATAGAATCTTAGTTAATTCATATATAGTCTAATAGTAATTATAAGAATAGAATATTTAAATATATCTTTTCTTTATATATAAATTATAATTCTATATTATCTAGAAGATATAAATAAGGAAATACTTGAGAATCTTGAGAATTATAGCTATATAGCTTTAATTACTAGAGTTATTTATATATATAAAAAGCTTAGTTTTATTTATTATATAATTATAATAAATAAATAAATAGCAAATAAGTAACTATTTATAATACTATAAAATAAGCTAAATAATAGATAAATTATAGGTTATAAATAGTAATATTTATATATATATTTCTATTAATAAGGTTTTCTAGTAATCCGGTTAGTTTTTCTATATTTTATAGTTTTATTCTAGCTTAAAAAGTTAGAGCCTTATTTATTAATATATTTTATTATTTATAGAAAGAGCTTATATATAATATTATAATTTCTTAATCCCGAAGTAATTATATTATAAATATAACAGATATAATATAAGAAAAAAGAATATATTATATCTGGGTCAAACTAGATTTAGTTAATTAATAGATATAATAAGCTATTATTATTTGAAATTAAAATATATACTTATATTAATATTTATTTATATAATATTATTTAAATATATATCGGAATTTCTAATTAAATTATTTATTTAATTATATAATAGTATTTTTAGATTTAGATTTAAATAGGCTACTACCCTTATTTCTTTAGAGCTAATTAAGGCTTTAAACTTTCTTTTATTATTAAAATATACTTTATATTTTTATAGATAGCTAATCTATTAATTATATATATAGAACTATTTTATTTCTGGGAAAAGTATTAAGAATTAGCAAATTAAATTCTAGTAATAGAAGCTTTAAAAAAGCTAGCTATATTAGTAATATATAAGTAATTCTATTTTCTTATATCTGTTTTTTATTTTTTCTATTATTAGAAGAAAATATTAAATACTAATAATTATACTACTTTTTATTAAGGCTATTAGATCTAGTATTATAATACTAAATTATATAACTAATTTTAATTAATATATATAGAACTATTTTTTAGGAACTGGCTTATACCGGGAATTATAATTACTAATATTTATAGAACCGAATTATTTTACTAGTATTTTCTATATAATAGATCCAAAATAAAATATATAGATTTATAAACTTATAAAATATTTATAGAATTAGAAAAAACAGATTTAGGTTTAATATAGTAGCTAGTAAGCTATTTAGACTATATATAGAACCTTTAAATAAAATATAATATTATTATAAGGTTTAAGTTCTAGGTTTAGAAAATAAATTAGAATAGCTTTATTCTAATAATATTAAACTAAGAAAAGAAAAATATATAAATATTAGATAAATATATAAATTAGCCTAGCTTAATATAGCTTAGTATATTATATATAGGAAATATATAATAGCTATAAAATATATAACTATAATAAATACTAGAGTTATTCTATAAATATAAAGCTTTATAATATAATTTTTAATAATTATTTAGTTTAAAATAAGTAATATAACTTTATATAGCTTTATATAAATAATTTACTTATATACTAATATAAATATTAATAAGTTTTTATTAAAAGAAATATTAGAATAATATTATTAAAAGCTTATATTTTATAATATAAATATAGCTAATATTTATATAGAAAATATTAATAGAAATAGTAATTAATTATATATTTAAACTTATTACTAGCTTTAATATATAATTCGAATATATATAGCCTTAAAGTAATTACTAATATTAACAGAATTCGAGAAACTAACTAATAAATATAATATTACTATTATATAAAATAGAATTCTTAAGTAAATTATTCTAATAAATATAAAATATATAAGTAATATATAGATTAGAAAAATATTTATATAATTTCTAATAGTTTAGAACTTTATCTAAAAATAATTCTTTATTAGTAATATTTCTAATAATATAGAATAATTAAATAAGCTAATTCTAAAGTAATTAGATATATTAAAATATATATTATTTTCGAAATTTCCTTTTTACTTTTAAAAATAATATTAATAAAATTATTAAGTTTTTCTATTATATAAATATTTTATATTTTTAAATTCTTATCTTTTAAAATAGTATTACTATTTCTTAAAATCTGCTCTAATAATATATATCTTATAGCTAAATACTAATATAGTAATATCTAATATTATAAATTCTATTAATTTATTAATAATAAATATAATATAAAAGCTATTACTTTATTTATCTAGAATAATATAATTAGTAAACTTAAACTTTATAGCTTTAAAATTCTATTTATATTTACTTTCTTTTTTATATCTAAAATATTTTAGATTTCTAGCTTTTTTTAATATCTTTATTTTATATTTTTTCTTTTAAAAATATTTACTATATTTATTTCTTTTATTATTATTATTATATAGCTACTAGATACTATTTCTATTTTATTCTAGACTTCTTTTATTCTAATAGCTTTATAACTATTTCTTTCTATATTTTCTTTTATTATAAGTTATATTATTTAATCTAATTATTTTTCTAGTAATATTTATATTATTATATAAGCTTAATAAACTATAAATATAAGAGTTATTTAGGCTACTATTTAGACTATAGCTTCTTATACTAGTAATAAACTATTTAAAGCCCTTTAAGGTTTTATAAATTGAAATATAGCCGGATCTAATCTTATAAAATTATAGATTATAGTTTTATAACTAGTTCTTTATAAATAAATATTTAATAATATAAAGAATTAGAAAGCTAAATAAAAACTATTTAATTTTCTAAAAAAATTAATAATAAGTTTTTTTCTATTTCTTTTACTAGATTTTTTATATAAATTCTAATAAATGTTTTTTAATAAATAGCTTTTAATTTTAAATAAATAATTGAGTCTTTTTTACTTTTTCTAATATAGTTTCTTAATAGCTATTTTTTTATTTCTTTTTTTATATTAGTAAACTTATCTACTATTATTAATTTATTAATAATATAAATAAACTAGTATTTTATACTAGTTTTAATAATAAAAGAATCTAGAAACTTATAGTTTTACTAGATTTTATTTAAATTATTTTTAATCTTTTTTATTATAATA